TATTCTTTTGTGTTATTTAGTATTGTTATATGACCAGGGCACATGTACAATGCAGTGTAAAACAAAAAGACAAGACATTCCAGAGTGACATTGGCCCCCACTGTTGTAAGATCTTCATTACTTCTATATAAGTGTCATCTTCCTATTGCTGCAATTGACATTATCCTTTCAAATGGATCAACAGATTTCCGTCAATCATATTTTTCTTCTAAATCCAGCAGCTTGAAGCTTGAATTGAAATTTGAGAAAGATCTGAAACTAACTTTCCAAGTAAAAGTGATCACACTAAACATATATATATATACTTCAACAGTCAAAATTCAAGATGTCTGTCTACTGGTGGCCATTTTTTCAATAAAGCGAGTCAAGAGGAGCCTATATTTTGATAGGAACTTACAAAATACCTTTCTTAGAAATAATCATAAACAAATTATTATCCAGTCAGTCTACAGTATAACATACAAAAAAATCGTGAAAGAATTCATTATTACTGACAGATGATGGAAGCTGCACCTTTGCAAAAGCTCACAGACACTTCAACGAATGTCATTTAGGTGAGCTAAAAACAAGCACTTATAACAATGAATAGAAAAAACATTCAATCATAAAAGTTTGTCAGTATTTTTATTTTAGACATCACAAGGTATGGCTCTCACATCAATACAAAAAGTAACAACCGTTTGACAAACCAGTTGTCTCCACTTACAAATGTTTAAAATCTACCACTTCACACATTCTTATACTTCTCATACGTTACAGAGTACATACAAAATTCTCAGTGATGAGAAGCTGATTCTGTCCCTCAATACAGGGAAATGTATGGTATATACAGGAATGAAGTGATCTCTTTGTTAACATTAACTGTGTAAAGAGACCACCTTAGGCATGAGTACAGTTGGCCATATGCTGTTTAATGGTCCTTAGTGGAATGATGTAGTCTTCCCTTGTTTTACTACATAAACCCTGGCCAGTGTTTAACAGAGATGATCAGCACCATACACCTATACACTTGTAACAGCTGGGCTGCTGCATATAATAGTCTGACTACCATTTAACATATGCTTAACAGGTGTTTATCTGGTTCTTCGTCACACTATTACTGTTCCTAGGACCTTAAAGTTCTAGAGGAAGCTCACATCACCAGAATATTCTGAAAATGGTCCCTTTGTGGTCCTGGAGAATGAATGTCATCTGCAGTGTACCACCTTATTCACTTGTCAATCAGTGTTCCTTTGGGTCTCTTTTTGGCTTCCTCAGCCTAAAATATGCAAAGTCAACAATGGGTGAAACTACCAATAAAGGCAAAACAGTACATGTATAATATTCTCGAAGATTTCAATATCAATACCTTATTCCTCAAATAACTTTTTCCGCATGGAATCGAAGTGCTGTCTACAGCATAAGCCATTTTTTTAATTAGTTGGGGCTAACAGAAAAATACATTCATCAAAGGCTTTCCAAAGATATCAAAGGGTTATTAAACAATTCTGGATTTCATTATGTGTTAAACGAAATATAAGTCATGAAAACTTTACCTCTTCCATCATCTTGCGTTTGGTCATGCCTTTCCTGATCAACTGTTTCTCTATTACTCTGGCATTAGCAGCATAGGAATCAGCTATTTCTTTCTGTGGATAGAAAGATCAATATGAAATGAAAATAAAGTATTAATGTAAAGCAAAACAATGAGAAAATCACCTACTTTTACACAGGTATTGAACAAATTATCTCCCTTCTAATATCACATTTATCAATTGTTTTGACAATGTCATTATAAATTCATAGATGTGCTTCTAACAGACCATCATTTATGCTATTAACAATATTTTATTAGTCTGTTTAAATAAAATGACCTTTTTGTGGACATTTCACATTTATCATGATCTAAGACAGAACCCAATTTGATTAAGATCAACTGAGGGCGTGAAATAATTTATTACGCACAAATGATCAAAGTTTCATCAGGTCAACTACATGTAGACTAACATAATCAGTGTTTAAAATAGTTCTGAGATAAATATGACATGGTTCATTTTGCATATGCCCTTCTAAGTATTCTTATTGATAAACCTATGCTAAGCATTACCCGTGCTTAAGCTACAAAATAAAATAAATAAATATACAACATTTGATATAGTGCCCTATCTAGCT